TTGTTCAAGTGTGGAGACAGATATTCCTTATACTCCTCCAAACCATCCTGCTCTGTTTATTTGTTTTTTTTTTTTTTTTTCCTTTCTCCATTTTTTAAAGCAAGGTGATGGGAAGTTCCCACTTGAACTCTGTTTCAGCCAGATCTGCTGGAGGCTGTACTGGGCTGTCACTGACTAATGATGAGAGCTTTTTATCTGCAGAAAGGCATGTCCTCTCTTCCTTTTCCTACTGCACTTTTACTCCTCATAGTCTCTGTCCACTTAGCATTTCTCCTTTATTTCCTTTCCCTATATGTGCTCCTGCTTTTTGTCCTTCTGTCTCTATTTGTATTCTTGTGTGAGTGGAGACAGAGAATGAGCAAATGGGTTGGGAATTGTGCTGGGAACCAGGCTCCCTTGAGGATCAGAGCTCTTGCAGCTACACTTTCTGCTGCTCAGGTCAGAGCAGAGGTGCAGCTGCACTGCTCAGTACTGCAGATAAATATTAGGGAACAGAATCTCGGCTCTGTGTACCACCAGGTTTATATATATATGTATATCTCTATATATATCTAGCTCAGTGCAGCCCTCTGCCAGCCAGATCAGCCAGGGCTGGGCTCTCCAGGGCTTTTGGTAGGATTTCTGATGTCTGAAATCCTACCTGTGCTCCTGCCTCCCCTGTACCTGAGCTAATCCAGAGCCAGCTTGTGCATCTCTGAGCGCTGTCATGCTCTGTCTGACTCGAGGGTATAACCATTCATGTGTTTAGATTTCCACCTCCCAGTGAAGCAAATGTCTGTGAAATCAGTCAGATTTCGTTTTTTTTTTCCTCTGTCTGTCTCAAGAGCTTGTGTATCCTGCTGGAAGGAATTCCGTATTCCTCGCAGCAGTCTGTCTCTGTGCAGGGAGGTGTTTGTTTTGACGTGGTTCTCAATCTTCAGATGCAAACCAAGGAACTGCAGGCTGTGTTGTTCTGTTTTTAACTCATCTTAAACCAGCTTGTGTCTGGAGAGGCTGCCCTGTCCTCCATCCATCTCTGCTGCTCTTCTCAGAGCTTTGGTTGTTCCCTGTGCTGCTGTGAGCGTGGCTTCAAAGGCTGAGTGCCTCTGTAGGGTTGGTGTTCAGGCAGGTTCTGCTCCTGGTGGAATTCCCAGCCCTGATACCAAGGGAGGAGGGTAGGAACCTGCAGGGAGAGCTGAGCTGGGAGATCAGCTGGGTTTAAAGCACCTGTGGAAGTGCCCCATGGATCTGGACACAGGGGCTGTAATCTGGGGTGGTGACTGATGGGGGAGAATCAGATGTACAGCATATTTTCTTCACTCATCCATATAAATGCCTTAAGCATTAGGTATTGCACATTGAGTATCAAAAAGTTAGTATTTTAACTTCACTATTTGGAAAGATGGACTAAATTATTACTATTTTGCCTTTTGACTCCTTTCACCTTACTGCTTTTCAGCCTTGCTGGACATCTTTTTTTCACTAATAAATATAATTTTTTGCCGTCCAGTAGCAAATAGAGTGTTGGAAGTACAGACTTGTCCTCCCAGCATTGCCAATCTACTCTTGCCAGCTGATTAATCCTATATCTTTGCTATGAGTCAGGTAGAAAGGGTTTTTACTTTAGTCTGGATGAAATGTTTGCCATCTGTCTTTCATGTCTGCATTGCAGATGTGAGCTGGACTAACATCTGGAGGCTTGCTCAAGGCTGGCAATGTTTATATTTCTAAAAAAATTATCACTTTACTTCAGCAAACATTGCTTTTGCCAATGGAGATTTTCAATATTTTTACTCCTATATTGGAGTTGCAGCACAGAAATGAGCTGCAGTCACTCGTGAGCTGCTCTGACCCTCAGAAAGCTCCTCTGTGTGAGTCACTCAGAGAGTGGATCTGTTGTGGAGGAAAACAGGGAGTTGTAGTGTGACAGACAAACAATTCCACGTGCTGAACATTTTGGGTTCGTAGGATGTTTTCCAAAAAGTAAAATTATGCTGTGTGAAGAGGCTGGTGGGAAGGGTGGTGTGGGGTTAGACTTCTGGGGACTGTTATATAATGGAGAATTCTACTGATGTGGATTTTGGCTCCACTTGTTCCACTTGTTCATGTAAATACTTGTTAGTATTTACTAAAGTAAATACTCATTTTCTTCCCAGATAGGCTTTGAAGACAGACTGGCTAAACAAATGCTCACACTGAACATTACTGAGCTGGATAGAGACATTTCTGAATTGCTGTATTTAGGAAAAGCTAGAAGCTTAGAACAAGAGACATTTTTTGGCACATGCTCAAGGAAGAAGAAACAGAGGCAATAGAAATCCTAAAATATATTTTTGAAGGAAGTCTGGAGCTTGTTTCAAGATTAGGACTGCAATGTCTGTATTCTTCTATGGCACTATTATTACTGCACTATTAAATTGCCTTTCCTTTCAGTGGAGTACTTAAAGCTACTTTTGGGGAATATTTGGTCAAATAGTCATAAAATGTTCTTAGCATCCTGTCCTTTATCCAACTGAGCAGTCCCTGTTTGCCTGTTTGGTGTAGGAAGTTCAATGTAGAAATTGCAAGGAAGAAACATTCCATCTCTTCTTACATAAACACTTGGGCAGGTAACTTCTGTTTAGTCTTGTCATTTAAAATTGCTGTTGTGACAGCAGCTGAAGGAGTGTTGAGAGAAATACATTAATTTTACTTTTTTCTTACTTGCTGTTGTGGTGTAGATTTGCCTGCTAATGAAAAACTGTCATAAGGTTTTAATAAGGTTTTTTTTTACATGTGCCCTTTTTATATTTGAAAACCACTCTGGTGGATTCAGTGTTGGTTAATTATTAGTGTATTATTTTTTGTCGTGAAGTAGGATTAGGAGAAAGGTAAAGTAGGTTTAAAATTTTAAAGGGGTACAAAGAAAAATCTATTAATAGTAACTAAAAGAAAGAGTAATAAAAATTAGAATGAAATCACCCTTTTATATTGAGTTCTGAGGGATATTTGCTTTATTTTTTTAGTGAAGGTTGAACCCAAGGCCATATCCTGGCTGTAACAACTGATCACCCAGGTTATTTTTATTATCACCTGCATGACTACCATCCATTGAAGTTAATTTGCTTTTGTAGGCTCTGGAGTATGGTACAGCTTTGAATTTGTTTTTGAATTATGACAAGTTTGAATACTCATATTAATAGTTAGTGAGGAGAAGTGTGCTTAGTGAAAAGAAAGTCTGTGACACATTTGAAAATATCATAACTCATAATTAACCAATTAGAATAATTGTCTACTTCAGACTTACTTTTTGAATTCCAGAGGCCGACTGGAGTGGCAACCAACTTCACATAAAAAAAGAAACAGGCTCTGCAAGATAATTAAATGTTTTCTGTTGGAAAAACGATGGCTCCCACATCACCCATGTTTACAGCAACTAGAAACTGTCTCACAATTTTCTTTAATCACGCCTGGGTGTTTTCAGCACTGTAAAACATGAAACCTAATGGGTTTTTGTGGAAGAGTGGAAACTGAATAATAGTGATTTTAGCACTCACTAGATATTATCTGATAATTCTGTTACCAAATGTTTGCAAGTGAGAGGAGGCTAATGGTGGTTTTATATGTGATTTATAAATATATTGATTAGGGAGTTCTGATATGCCTCTCTTTTGGAGCAAGTATTTAAATCCAGTGAGAATCTTTTGCAGAGACTTACCAGCCTGTTTATATTGATTGATAGTGATTCCTCAAGACATTCTCCTGAGTAGAGCAGTAGATTTTATTTTGTATATACTGGATAATGCTGCTAAATCCTGAGAAAGCACCTTACTGAATTAAGCTTCATTAAGTGGATTGTTATTCACGGAGCAATTGCTGAGTTTTTTTCGTTCCCTTTATTATGGTGGTGATTAATTTGTTTATTTATTTATAAATTTTAGTACTGAAATTAGATTATTGATTAGAAATACTAAGATAACATACCAAAGTTGCTAAGTGAAAAGTACTAAAATTGTTTTTTGAAGAAAATAATTTAAAATTTTAAGGATATTGTATACAGAGGGGCCTGACTTGAATCTCACAAGGTCCAATGTGATATTACTGGTTTGTCTTTACTTGTTAAGTGGTATACAGGACTTCTAATTTCTCATATTAATTTGAAAATAAAGGGAAAGATTTATATCAGAATTATTTAAAATGAACTTTTTTTTTATTAGATTTTTCTGTCCTCTTGGGTTTGGTAGACAGGTTAATTTATATGTGGCTCTGCTTGTCACCCAATACTTAAATCACTTTCCAGCTCAGTGAGGTGCATTGGATTTCTCTTACAGCCTGACAGCTGGACTTCTCTGTATCTGGAATTTCCAAAATAAAGTCACCTCTTCAGAAAATTGCATGAAAACCTGAACTGGTGAATAAAATAACAGCAATTTGCTTTTGTCTTCATTTTGGGTTTTGTTTAAGCTTTTAAGCCTAAGATGGTCTGGAGAATTTGTTTTGTCTTTAAATGAGTACTCCTTGATGCAAAATTAAGAAATGCTGAATGCCGTGGGGGAAGTTTGATTCAAAAATCTGAACAGAGTTGCTGAATTTGTTTTATTCCACTTCTGACTCTTCCAGTTCCTTGCCTCTCCCACTCTGAGTGGCACAGGGGGATATGGGGGTTGTAATAAGTTGATAAAACTTCCTCACACTTTTCCCCTGCTCCAGTTTGGGGTCTCTCTGTCTCTGTTTGGGGTCTGCCCTTCAGGATAAACCTGCTCCTGCCTGTGCCCTCCCTGAGATGTGGTTCCTTCAGGACTCACTTATCTGCTGGGGTGTTGGAAGTACAGGAGTAAAAATAATTTGGAATATAAACACCTAAGCACCCACTGGACGTAGCAGTGGTGCTCCTGGGAGTTCTTGGGAGTAGAGGAACACCAGCAAGATTATGTAGAAGTATTTGATGTGTGGCTGTATGTATTTATTCTTTACATAAATGCTATGCAGTATGTGGATAGTGCACTAATAATTTTCATGCTGTGTAATTTTATCTGTTCCAGGGAGTATGACTTCTGCAACGTCACCTATCATTTTGAAATGGGACCCCAAAAGCTTGGAAATCAGGACTCTCACAGTAGAGAGACTACTGGAGCCACTTGTCACCCAGGCAAGTGTCTTTGGTTTATTTTTTTTCTTTCTTCAGCCTGATGCTGTGTTTACTCTCTTTACATAATTATCTTAATAGTATTTGATAATAAAAACATGAGCAGTTTTTGTTCGTCATCTCTGTTGGAAAGCTCTGTTCAAACATGTTTAGAGACTTGTTCTAAATAATTTATAGTCTCAAAATGTGAGCAGGAATACAGTAGCAACAGCTATTTACTTATGTCTGTCTTATAAAGCAATTTAGAATCTTAACAAACAGTCAAAGATTGGGATCTGACTGAGACATGCTTCTGGTTTGTTATTTCACCATGAAAGAGAGTTTCAGAATACAACCAAACCAAAACCAACCATCCAAATTACAGAAGCTATTAAATCCTGTTTCGTTCTGTCCTGCCATCACTAGGAGTGTGTGTAGAGGCCTGATGCCTTTCTGTTTCAAGTTGGTCTAAATAGGGAGAGCTGCTTTAATTCCCCCAATTCCTCTGCTCTTTCAATGAGTCACTTTCCAAAGAAATAACATCTGGTTGTCATTTTTTGTTTCTGAAAAGAAATATGTTATTTCTCTACAAATTATTCTGGACATGAAAGTCTCTAAGTGACTCAAGGCAGAGTACCTTTCGTCCTTTCATTGCACATGGTGATAACTTGGTAACTAACTTCCATTGTAAACCCTGATAATGTTGTTCCTGACGTGAAAGACAGACTAAAATCCTGAATTCGCTGTGAAACCAGCTGAAAATGAGGTTGCCAGTTCTCTGTTACTCTGGTGCTGATCGACATCAGCAAGTGAATCTGCTGTGCACCAAACTGTTGTGAAACTCAAGTTACTGCATCCTCTGGGAGGGAATTTCGTGTTCTCCTTTTGCTTTATTTTCCACTGTTTTGCCCAGAGAAAAGAAAACATCAGCCCAGAAGTACCATTGTAGCTTTACAGTTTCACCAGGTGCTTGCTGGGTTAAATTTGGGCTCAGCTACGCCTTTGTTTGATAGCGCGCTGGAGCAAACGTAAATCAAGAAATTACAGTCTGAGCTACAAGACATGGATTTCTTCAATGATAAAAACTCATGTTCCCAAGATTGTATTTTGATGAGCAACAATGTGTTTCTATTTTAGCAGCATGTCAAGGAGACTAAGGAAAATAAAATGCTGTCAAGAGAGGGTAGAGAAATGTTAGTCTATTGTTTTATTCAACTTTTATTAATATTTCCATTCTGATTTCTTCTTTTCATAGGCTTCTAGATAATATGAATAAATAAACAAAATAAAGCTTCCTTTTTGAACATGTAATATAATTTCTTGTATTAGGGAAATAAGTAGATTTGCTTATTTCCCTCTACTTTG